CACGTGTTCCTACTTGCACGTAGATGTGAAATCAGTTATGTAGAGAGGAGAGAATGGTGAGAGGCTACATAACTGATGCTACACTTTCAAGAGATTTCTTGAATAGATCACAACAATATTGAGAGTTATACTGAATGGTGCCAGCGTAGTGTCTCCGCATACATCTGAGTTCGCTCATATTTAACGTCGTTAAGCCTTTTGATTTACTTATTTAATCAAGCCATTTCTATAGCAAGAACTTATATGTACCAGTGACTATTACTATCGTCTGGTTTGTATAAGCTGGTATGTTTGAACTTTGCTTACCGCATACGCTCATAGTCATGCTGTTCGCTTTAATGTTAATCTCTTAAATATTTTGATGACTCAAACATTTTACTATGTTTATACACATACATTTTAATCTTAATAATTCATTCGCCAATTCGCTCACTCGCTCGCTAGCGTGCTTGCATTCCTCTGTGTTCTTGTGGTGTGCTGATCCATTTGCGGTGTGCCAAAATAAACGTATTCAACACTTCGTATTCGTCATCTGATTTACAAACCGTCAGACACTATATTAGTAACAATTGTCTGGACGAGAAAATTACGAAGTCTAAGAACACATTGGATACCGACCGTTATGAACCTAGTGATATATTGGCCACCATACCTATTGAACAAATTTCACAACTATCGCGTGACAAGCACATCCTTAATCACTACTAGTAAACAGCAGAAAAGTTAATGAAAGACAATAACTTCATATTTCTTCAAGAGAGAGCTCACTGTTGTTCGAAGTGATGAATATCAGAAAATATTCACTGAGATCCATGTAAAAGCAGTTGACGAGTCCTGAATATGACCAAATGATTAGATCAGATTTTATTCCTAGCCAGTATTCAAACTATAGTCACAAATTTTATTCGCTTCAAAGTTGACAAAGCTTCCAAGTCATATCCAATATTTTCGAGAATTTCACTTTATTCCAAATATGTTCCAAATCCTAATGTCAGTATATCTCGAATTACGAACAGACAGCCATATTTTGATATTATTTCGAGATATTCATACTGCTTACAAGGTATCACTCAATGTTTCAGTTAACTACACAAACATTATTTCTTTGTTTCTCACCGTTACGATTAGTTTTTCCGGAAACAGTCAGTGTACCTTGGAAAAGCATGAAAGACATCATCCACAAGATAGATAAGGTGTTTACTAACAGTTGTCTACGTAAAATGCTTAGGATCTTTTGGCCATGCACCATTAGCAACAACCTACTGTGAGAGAGAACAAACCAGATTCTAATTGAGGAAGAAATTAAGAAAAAGTGCTGAAGGTGAATAGGACACACATTGCGGTAAGCACGAAACTGCGTCACAATACAAGTCACAACTTGGGATCCTCAAGGCCAAAGGAGGAGAGGAAGACCAAAGAACACAATTTGCCGAGCTCAATCGGAATCAAACATGAAAAGAATGAACAGCGATTGTATAGAACTGGAAAGGAATGCACAGGGCAGAGTAGGTTGGAAAATGCTGGTTAGCTGCCTATTATGCACAAGGGGTAACAGTAGTTAGTAAGTAAGTAAAAATAATTACCTTGCCCTAGATCAAGTGCATTTATTAGTAGAATTGTAAATCTGAAGAATTTTTCCCATTGTTATTATTCCCGATGATGATCTGAAACTCATACAAATCAAATTTGTTCATTCCAATAAATTCAATTGTTCAGTTGAACACTAATAACTCTTTAACACTAAACGAATTTTATTAAAAGCCAGTTAGCCGCATACAAAAACTACCACTTAAAATTGAACCTGATGTTCTTGATATTTATGATATTCTGTGTACGAAAACCATAGTTTTGATTTTAGTATTTATCGAAATTCAAAATGTACATCGAAATCGTTTCTTAATCACACGTAATGACATTCACCGCCATAGCACGAGTGCATGACATTTAAACAAATGAATCTCGCCGTTTTTTCAATGAAATTACATTTATTTTGTACCACTGAATTTCATAAATACCAATATCCGCTACAAGATAAAAAAGCAGGTTTCACTTCATTTGACATATTTCGTTTGAATGTTTATTTGTTCGCTTTGAATACTCTTCAGTGGATATGCTTTACTCCTAACCGATATTGATTTTCAAGTATTAATTTTAATTTCAAAATGGCTAAATGTATATTTGCGAGGTTAGAAATCATTTTATCGATGTTTTACACCAAAGACAGTTTGACAAGGAATCAAAGTTGAAATTTTGTGACAATCGGTATTGTTTGTCGAAAATTCAATGCGAATTAGTCTAGGAGTTAATATTTTGGTAGTCACTAGTTTAAATTTCGAAAATTCGAGCTGTTGGAAACATGGTTCTTGAGGGTACATTCTATGATTCTGAGAAATGCTCGTGCATTTCACATTTTATATCATTGTCACTTGATGCGGAAAATGAGTGTTTTCCGTTCTGTACTCTTGCCAATAGTGAGGAACTGGGTCATGAGCTGTTTGGAACTCAGTATGATTTTGGTTCAAATATATCGGTGTTCGATTCACACAATGGGTTAGCTATTGCATTTACCAATAAGTTGATAGTTCAACTCAGGTCGACAGTATCGTTTCATAAATATTAGTTTCCCAATGTACATAACTAACTTATTAGTTGGTGATGATTTTAAAATCCATCTCTTTAACGTTCTACCTACTACGGATTGAAAGTTCTACGATAGAAAATAATTTACTGAACTTCTATATCGGTTATGACTTAAATACGTCGAAAATACACAACTTGTAAACTTGAAAGATCTAGTTGAGGCGTTTGGAGAATGATTTCAATTTGTAGGCTGTTTTCGTCACATGTTGATGGCAGTTGAGATACAATTGAAAATCCAGGAACACTGAACGATTGTTTCATGCAAGCAAGAGACTCTTAGGCAGTGCTCACTTGCAACCTATTCAAGTTTTGAGCACTGAGAAAGAATGTTTAACCCTATCGAAGTCGAATGCTCATTGTTTAGTAATCCCATAATCGGAATTGATTGCTGTCTATGGCTTGTAGTATTTGCACTATGTTAAGCCCACATAAATGGTCCAGACAATTATATTAACCCTATTCTTCTTTCTCGAGTCCAATCTACTCTTCTTTCGACCTTGTCAATCATTCATTCCCTCATAATTTGGTTTTTATTTGAGTGTGTGTGTGCGCTTAGTTCGCTTATTACATGTCCGGTTTATCTTTTCTTGACTATGAATACTTAGTCATCACATTGAGTTGACTCACTCCCCTTCTCCATGTCGCTTTGCCTTGCTTGTACGCTTTTCATTCTAATGCCTGTCTGTGTGAAAGATTGCATGAAATAAATTCATTCGCAAAACAGGAATGGGGTTTTTAATCACCGCCGTCGAACAGACGGGATTTGTCTAAGTATGATATGAAGAAACTGAAGGGAATATTTATTTCATAGCATACGCGACCGTTCACCCAAGCAGAAGATAGATAGCGCTGGTCATTAAATGCTTCCTAAACCGCATGGTGTCCCGAAGTGAGATCGATTTGTAGCGAATGTGAACTATGCATTTTCAAGGTCATTAGTTAAAAATGAGGTAGGCGAATTCATTGTACCATATTGCTGAGTTAGAAGCAATGAGACAAAGCAAATCATGTGAGTAAAACTAGTAATAGGAGAAATTATTATATTGGGTTGATTAAAATGACAAGAATAGTAATACTGAAAATAAAATAAACATGTGATCAAATAAAAGTTGTCAGAGTGATAATGAAAATAATGACAAGTAAATGGAGAAAGACAAAAGTACAATTTGAGAGTGGAATGTGACAGAAATAGACATAATTTGGGATTAAGGAGTGAGAATTGATCATTTGTGGGATGTGTGTGGGACAACAGCTCAATCGTCGGTCGGTCATGATAAACAGAGGCTGAATGTACCTCACTTAGATACACAAGTTAGGTTCTCTGGATTTGATCCCTGTGATCTAGGCCATTAAGAGGAGGTGTAATCTTGCTCCTTTATAGAAAATTGTATCGTCTTTGATATTATGGTACTGTTCCCCCTAATTGTACTATGGTATTCACTATCTACCCATGCGAGGAAGGTTGTCGCTGTTAGCAGATTTAGTGATTCCTTTTCTCAACCATCCAAACACATGTTCACCAGTGCATAAGGATGCGAATCTCTGACTATGGCGTGTATATCACTAGCTCCATAGAAGTGGTTATGTTGGTAAACACATCTGTACGAAATAGGCAGCTTGTCAAGGTTAAACTTCCTTGCAACACTTCTCCTGAACTTCACTATTGAAACAATGTCTTAAAAAACTAATTTTCTTACAGCATCAATCTAACCAGTTTTTCGACGTGAACAATTTACTTTTTAATGAAATTAGTTGAAGAATACTAAAAAATAATTGCACAAAGTACAGAAAATACCTCACGGTTTATAAACAACGCAAGCAAGCTAATCTCTGCATAAAATGTTCAGTAATTCACATTTTTAGAATTGCAATAGTATCAAGGATCCTAGTCAAATGTCATCTATGTCATGATGATCTGTTCAACTATACAGTACTACAAGTACATGTTACAAAAGAAAATGTTGACGATATCCACTAATTCGTACGGTCAAATCATCAGTCAACACACTTTAGTGGACAATTCGACCACCTCTCTGTTAATTTTTGAAGTAAAAAGGGGCATTGAATGACATTGATTAGTGATCATCATCATCATCATCAGCTGGTAGAATATCCGAAGATCGATTAGCGAATCACATTATAAACAAATGAATCGTGTCTGCCTATTACATAGTCCCCAACCCCCCCACCCCCGTGATCTTTCAACCTGCAGGATATTCTGCAGTTAGAAAACTGCCTACTTCAGAGAAAATATCACATCCAATACGAAGAAAATCATGTGCAGTGAAAAGAATAGAAAAAAAACAGAATAAATTTATGACCAATAATCATCATAATAATTATTATATTCAATATTATATAGAGAGAAGAGAGAGCGAGAGCAAGTGAGCGAGTGAGAGACAGAGTAAAGAGAAACATTTCAACTGTAAATTCAACTGTCAAATTCTTGTAAATTGTTATTGCCTACAACAAAAAATAATAAAAATCTAATGGAAATAATGTTTGTTTTTTTTTTTTTGAAAAAAGGATTACAGAAAAGTATTATATAATACGCGCACAGATGAAACAACTTTCAACCAACCAAACAACAATCAATTGATCAGAAAGACAGAAATGAATGAAAAACACCATTAAAAAGGGATCACAATGAAAATTCAGTGTTCAAATATATGTGTACGGTTGTTTCAATTTTTTTTGCTGTTGTAATGTGTAATAATGAATGCAAAATGGTTTACATTGAATCAGTTAAAACTGAACAAAACAACACACAAGACATGCATTTCAGTGTAGACTGGCCGAAAAACAGCAGCAGTCACATTTATGACTGTCACATCAAAGAATAAAGCCACATCATTGTCGTGGATAAAATACAGCAGTAATAATATAGTTGAATTTCTTTTCAAAAAAGGAACATATATATATATGTATATTTATTTATATATCTCTGTGTATATGTATATATCATTTATAAATGATGAATTTTATTCGCTGGCAAAAATTAAACCCTAAAACCCAATAAAAAAAAAATGAAAAGTGAATATATTATACAACAATGTAACATTGTAATACACACACATGTATCTCTCTCTCTGTGTTTGTGTCAAGTGTACACACCATTTTGATAAAAAACATTGATGCCAGTATGTCATTGCTTATGTCATTTACTATGTATATGTATATGTATATATTTATGTGTGTATATGCATATAATTTTGTTTAAATCATAAATTAAAATTTGAATAAATCAAGGAAATTAATGAGCTCTTGTTTTTTCTGTTCCATAACACAAACAAACGAATGATCAAACGAACAAACATGAAAACATGAAAATACTATTTAACGATTTAACGTAAATTATAAGCGATGGTTTCATTGATAATCGATGGCAATGGTTTAGCACTGATCACTTCACGTAAATGTTCATTATCCCATACAGTTCGTTTAATGTTATGACTATTATTATTATGATGACTGTTATGATTATGATGATAATGATTATTATCTAATGAACTGCCAATTGTACTGGTGACAGACGGGTTAACATTCTCATTGCCATGATGTGTAGTGTTGATAGATTTTTTAAAAATACTTTTATTCAAGAACAATGATTCATGCGGCGGTGATGATGGGGATGACGATGATGACGATGGCGATGATGGGGATGTATTTTGTTTAGTTAATGAACTATTATTATGATTAGGATTAGAATTATTGTGAATTGTAAATGGTTTCGACCAATTGCCCATTGGTAGATCGTCTGTTTGATTCAATGATAATAAATCGAAATTATTCAATGCAGCAGCAGAATATCTAACAACAATAAGAGAACAAAATAATGAAATGGATAAGATTGTTTAGAGTTTATTCTCTAACTAGTTCAAATTTGACTGTGGCCAACCAGACAACAACATTTCTTTATGCAAATAGGAAAAAATTAAACTAGTTATCTATGTGTTGTATGGCATCCAATCAATAATTACCACGTTTACGGACTCATTGACCATAAAGTTAGAGAAATGATTCCTGCAGTCCTCATATAAATGAAGAAGACGAATCAATGTTGGGAATAAGGTAGATGACCAGTGATGAGTGAAATCATGAATTCATCTACAGTTGTGCAGATGCCCCATTGATTAATCTCATACTAAGGATGAAACATTTGTTTAGTTCCTTCTTGGTTTTCAAAAATGATTTCCCGACTGAAGTCAGTCTATTGTGCACTTTATAAAATTCAACAATCTCAACAAATCTTTTATGCCAAAAAATCAAACTATTTAACCAGAATGTTGTGAATAACAGTCGGCCAACCATTGAAACAATGGATCACCGAGTTTTAAACGACCACCCAACTCTTACTTTCACAAACAATAGGTTTAGCAGTTACATACATTAAGTGATATTATTAGTCAGTGAGTTGTGACTCACCATTATTATTTGCAGAAAATCATGAAATATGCGATGAAATGCTGGCTTTCATTGATTTAATGATGACTAGAAGTCAGGAAGTAATCAATCAACTAACTCTTTTTCTTAACAAAAAAATAGTAGTTTGATTTCAGAAACCAACCAAATGTGACATACGAGCAAATAACAGAAATTACTTAGTAATACTTTTATAAGGATAGAATTCAGTAAATATCTCAACTAATTATGACAAGCATTAATTTGACTGTAGTACACGGGTTAGGACATTCAAGTTTTAGTCACAAATTCGACCGAATACCACTCTGCTACACTTCTGTTTGACAACTAGGTGGTTCAGAAGGAAAAGCACCTATCGCTGAGTGGTGGCGCTTTCTTTGTACACGACACTTTAATTGATGAGTTTTCAATGTCACTCCAGACTATGTCGTTGGTGCTCACTAAAGGTCAAAGAACAAAACAAATCACTAGAAGTGTATCCATTTGAGCTGCAAATCTTTTCCATAACACATATCCACTATCCCATAGAAAGCTAACGGATTATCCCTAATTTAACTATACACATTTACATGTAACGCAAATAGAAGTGAGAAGCTGTGACAATTAGAGTTTAGAGTATGAAACAGTCAATCACACAATATATCACACTGGATGTCCTGATTCCTATACGCCATAACAGCATTGAGGATTCTATACTATTGATAAATACTAGGATGAAATATTTATCCGGTGCTGTTTAGTTCCGATTGTTGTCTATCAAAAATCCATTCACAAAAATTTAGTCTAGTTTCAATTAGACCACTTAGATAGGCAATTACCATAAAATAAAAAAGCACAAAATTTGTTGATGATCAAGTAAGAAGAAAAACAAACGGTCTAAAATATAATGAATTTTACGGATTGGCAAACAGAATCCATAAAACCAACCAACAAACAAATGAACCAATCACAATCAACAGACTGAATTAAAGACAACAGGAAATTATGAATGAATGAATATATCAGGTCATTTAAATTGTCTTTGTTGTTTGATGATTGATTTCTTTGTTAAATTCATTATTTTAACTAGTACATCGGATTGGTTTATAATGCCCAGTATTTATGAGTAGTATATAGATACATATTTATGTAGATGAATTGAAAAAGAAAATGGTTGATAAAATAAGTGAATCAGGAAGAATATCAAGATTAGATGACTGGTAAACTGGTTGAGGAGTCTTTAATGACTGAGGTACTTATAACATGGACTACGCATGCCTAACGGCTACCTATCTTGACGAGCGATATTTGCTATTTGAGTAGGTTTGAACAAAGCGTAATCAAAACATGGTGCAGATCTGTGAATGCATCGATCGTTGAAGTGAGCAGTACAAGTAGAAGAGGATAACACGGCTGGGATCCGTGAAATCATGTTAACTAACGGTTGGAGACTTTGAATGATGTGACATAGATTCTCCATTATATGTTTACTTGATATAGAAAAAACTTTGTTGAGCTGAAACACAAATGTGCCAGATTCTATGTTGTTGATTAGACTAACTAACTCATCGACTGATAGGCTAACGTACTAGGAGGATATCTTATATTGAAGGAGAGTTCGCAAAAGTTCCACTATTCAAATTGAACCAAATAAATATGTTTCAGCTCAAAATTTAGAGATTGACAAACATGGAATTGTCATCAGAGAACCACAGATCAACTATTACAATCTAACAAGCAACCTGATAACATCTTTTCTTAAAAATAATCACATAGACCAAAGTAAATAAATAAATCACAAACAGACTAATGAAAATTATCAAAAATGAAACCCAGTGTATATTACAGATAATTATAAAATTACCAGAGGTTAGAAACAATAAATACAGCTTTAATAGTTGCACAATGGATAAGATAGTTCCATTACGCACATTGTTCATAATTATTTAGCATTCTAGATATACGTTCGGTCTTATCGAAAACTCATCAGCTAGATGGATGCATTTGTATCGCAGTGTTCATGTTGACAATCGAACGAAATATGTATTTATAGCTTCGCACACACACCAATTACTGTTGGTCAAAATAATCATTAACTTGCTGAATAAATATGAAATTATTTATAAATAGTTTTTATTTATTAAGTGACAAATCTTATCAACAGATAAAAATAATTTTACCACTTACTTAACAACTGATTTCAAGAATTGAGTAGCAGCTCCTAATGATGAAGAGGAAAGTGAACAAACTGATGATGATTGGGATGAGAAATCCGATGTGGAACTTGATCGATTCGGACTATTATCTCCAGTTAATTCAACCGACGATGATGATGATGATGATTGCATTTTCAATGTCATTGGTGTTGTTGTTGTTGTTCTTGTTCTTGTTGCTGATGTTGTCAATGTTAGCGGTGATGATGATGAGGAGGAGGATGACGATGAAATTGTGAAACGACCACTTGTTATACCAACAATAGATGATGTTGTTATCAATGGAAATGAATCATGATGTCGGGGTGATAGCGTTTCAACAGCCGGTTCATATGGCAACGATGATGATGATGATGTGGATGAATTAGACGAGAAACTTTCTTCTTTATGACGTGTATTCTTCTTTTTCTTACCTAATGAACTACTCAAATTGAACCATGATTGAAAAGCTGAACTATCATCCATATTTAATAGAACATTATGAACAGTTGTTGCATAATGTGGATGAAATGATGTTTTTGAAAGTGATGACTATGCATGGAAGCAGAAACAAAGGAATAAACAACAACAAAAAACAAATTTCAAACGAAAATCAATCAATCATACAAAAAATGTTGTGTTCGAATTTGCATAACAAATTCCAATCTACTACTAGAGATGCATCATACATTTTCTTCGTTTAACTTTTAAACGCTACATTCTAAGGTGTTAAAGTTTAAACCAAATTAGATAGTATAGAATGATTTTTCACTGTGACGAACAAGATGTAGAATTCAGCTGATTCATGACACATTCACACACTAACACGTAAATTGAAACTACACATAGAAAAACTGTTGATTTAGAAGAAAAGAAATTTTAATAATTTGTTCGATAGTCATAATTTGAGCTCTTCTGTTGGTCAGTCAGTCAGCGTGCTGTTACGGGTATGAGGGCGGTTGTCACTTCCCGGCTGCCCACACCGTGGAAGGTTCTTTCTTGAGGGACCTGAAAAGGAAGATGGATTAGTGTTGGTGCGTGACCGCAGAGTCCAAAGGAACAACTGCTTGGGGCCGGTCACGCACGGCCTTTTTATGAAAGGTATTTAGAGGATTAGCTCCGTTCTTAAAGGCCCTTAGTGGGCACCCTTACCCAGGGAGACGGAAATCCGTGAGTTAGGGGAGGTGTGACATTTTTAGGGCCGACCTTTTCTAACCCTTCCTTCCTTGTGAGAAGGCAGCATCGCTGCAGATGCTGGTTGTCCGAGGGAAACACCTTACTGCTGTCACACCCCTCTGCAGTCAGCAGTACGACTTCGCCCTCAGACCTTGGGTAGCTGCTTTTAGTCTCATCGTTCTCCAATCGACCAGCCTGGCATGGTAGGACCTGCAGGAACATATGTTCCAGCCAGTATAGCTCGGTTGGGTCATCATGATAGGCAAGCCCGACCACCACGTCAAGGTAGCCAGCTTCGGTCGGGCTTCTGTTGGTGTGAATTAGCGAAAATTCAATAGGATTGGATTAAAACAATATTTCAACTATGATTATTATTGTTTCTTTCATTACTATCTTTTATGTGCTGTGAAATTATTTGTTCAAAACTGAAAGAAAATTTCGAATAAAATATGATTTGGAAAATGTAACAGTGACGCACTGGTTAAAACGATTGAGTTTCAGTCCGTGACTGAAATTGCAGGTTTTAATCTAACTCTATCCTATTTTTGTTAGGGTAATCAAGTTGTAGTATCGCTAAACCTCAATATTTCGAGAACATGAATCTGTTACCTGGTAATGAGTGTGTAGTATCTCCACATACGTTCGAGTTCGCTTACATCTAATTCGGTTAAGCCCTTTCGATTAACTTATTTAACCAAGCCACTGGCGTAGCAACAACTTATATGTACCTTTCGCTCTTACTATTGTCTGGTTTGCATAAGCTCATTTGACTTGTCTCGTTTGCTTCTGACCCTGTCAATCATTCGTCGCTTTTATTCATGTGCGCATGCGTATTTCGCTTGTCGCGTGTCTGTCTTATTTTTGTCTGACTATATATATTCTTAGTCATACGCTATCTCTTTGATTTGGTTCAACAGCCTTCTCCAATTCACGTCGCTTCATTCGTTTGATTGACTGCTTCTCGGTTTCGCTTTGTGGTGTGTCCTAAAGAGACGCATTCATCGCTACGAGTTTGGCCTTCTGATTTATAACCGTCAGACGCTACTTTGTAACGATTGTCTAGACGAGCTAATCACGAAGATTAAGAACACGTTGAAATCGGCCACCACAAGTGAATGTAACTATCATTATTTGTAATACTTTGGTTATGAAGATTTTAAACAGAAAAGAATGAGTTCAAAAGTTGGTTTAATTAAATTATAATAAGAAAACAAATATTGCAGTCATATACCTACATAGTTCATCATGTACAACCTATGAATCTATGAAATAGCTTACATATTGTTAGTGTATTATAATTGAAAGAGTTACACACTTTTTGAAACCATGAATCGATCAATGTTAGACCACCATTAGAAACCTAGAAGCACTGGACGGCCGTTTCGTCCTAGTATGGGACTCCTCAGCAGTGCGCATCCACGACTCCTGCGCCCCGCAGGATTCGAACCCACGACCTTCGGTATTGTGCGCGAACGCCCTAACCGTTAGACCACTGAGCCGGTATCTAACGGTGTTAATGTCTAACTTGATCAAATTCACGGAGTTGCGCAACCTCATACACAGTCTTCGGTAGACACTGCCTACACCCGAACAGGTTGAACTTCACTGGTCACGACTTCCCACTAGGACTCGGAGAAGATTCCTCACGAAGCTACTCACTAGTGAGCACAGTTAATTTGCATTATGGTGTTGTGAAGATTGTTAAGTTACACCTAATAGTATTGGTACTATAATGTGGGGTTTGTCTTAACATATCTTTGATTTGCCTGAGTTGATATGATCTGGCAATTGAAACCGCAAATAAACGTCTCCGATTCTAGATTACTAACTGCCTGGCAAACAAGTTTAAACCTATCAATAGTAAACAGTTGGATCTTTAAAATAGTACTTATTATGTGCATACATGATGGACACGTCACGTCTTTTACTAGACTAGTTTGTTATTCCTATCCATGAAGTTATTTAATGTTTTCCAAGTACCAACATGTAATATTCCTTTAGATGTAATCACTCTCGTTAATTGAACCGTTCATATGGACAACACTGATTGTAAGCGTTTCAGAAGTCACCAACAAGAAAACTGATATTTGGACCCACATACACGAATTAGTCAGTAACATCGGTAACCATTTCCAATGAGTGAAACTCGATAATCCAGATTCAAATAATGTCAAGCCTCAAACTAATTCGGATTTTCACTGATAAATCAAATGCATGCATACCATGTGTAACTTAACAATCTTCACAACCCCGTAATGCAAATTGAAAGAGCATTTCGATATCTAAAATCCTAGACAGTTAGGTTGTGACAAAATCTCATCCTAAATACAAAAAGTTTATTTAGCTTTTACCAACCCATAAAGCGAATGAGTTACATTTGCATATATCAAATCGGAAATACACTGTGTAAACATTTTATGTGTTCTGTTATCTGTAAGACATGTGCTCTGCTGGTTGTAAATATAACTAGACTATTAGTATTCGAGAATAAATATCCTCGTAGCATTGATTACAAATGACATGACCGTTGAATAAGTCAATGTTGACATTAAATGTAGAATATAAATTCAAAGTTTGTTAACCAATTGTTCAATATGTTAACCTTCATTGAATGAGATTATTGAAACATGAGTTACGCATAATTAAACCAACGTCTATCCGAAAAACTTACGCTAGTTAGGATAAGAGTTTAATGAAGGAATTGTAAGAGAATTGAAATGCCAACAAGATGTCAATTTTCAAAATCATTGACAAATGAACTGAGCAGCGTCAGAAAGTGTAAACTGCCTGCCTGGTTAGGGCTCATGTCATCACTACAGTTGAAAAAACATTGGATAACATAGTACAAAAACAAGTCTCAATTGCAGTTATTCTGCATTTTCCTTAGGATCAATACATACCTTCCATTTGCTAATGTGTCGAGTTTAACTTTCCATCCCCAAAAGATATGACTAATCACTTTTCATATCCTGTTTTATTCATGATACTGGTATGATGTGACAAACTAAGGCGATAAACAATGCTACTAGATCGTGCTACACGTTATCCGAAATCGATTGATTGGCTGGATAGATAGTCTGACAAAACACTTGGAACTAGAAACCAGCCAACAACAACAACAACAAAGCCGAGACATGGGAAAGTACTTGTGATCGTTGTTTCTTTCATTGAAATCTTTGACAAAGTTAATTTGACAGAAAAAAATATCAGCACGGAATTGTCAGTGTCTACTTGTATGTTCTTATTTTTTCTAGATCAAAATACCCTAGTCAAATTATTTAATTTTGTAATCTAAACAGTAGTTATGAACAAAGCAACCAATCAGAATGCAGAATACAAGGTCATCATCATATACATTAGATATTTATTTATGTAGCCAGTGACAACATTTGACAAAATATACACGTAGACAGTAGTGATAATAAAATATTGTAGTCATATGATAATGATTGCATATAATAAGCATACGAGTGTTGTTGGATGATAAAATAATGATGTAAGCGAAAAAAGATGATCACATGATTAGAGAGGATTGGTAAATTGATATAATTTACGCTATGAAATGATCATGAAACATTCTTCGAAACTAAATGATTGAATTGTGAAATTTACATATTGAAATTCCATAGTAAGCAAAATCTCGAGCAAAAAAAGTGGCTAATAACAAGAACAGATTTATAGGTTGCATTTATCATAGATTAATCATAGATGAGACAAGCTATGTTCTGGCCTAATTAGCGCTGTTGTATTACAAATTGATTGAAGTTTGAAATTATACCACTGAATGTTAAGAAAATGGATCTAATTGTTACCTGCTCTTCATAAAGATACTAAGTTCAATAATCAGTGAGGTTGCAGGTGCTCTACACTAGAAAGAAACAATTGTACATTGCTTTTTGGTTTCCCATGGTACCGGTTAAACCGTCACAGTTAAAGCTCCTTCAAAATCAAAAGCTAGTAATTAAAAAGTTAATGGCAATCTGAACTTAATAGCTCTGTGGATAAAATGTACGCGTTTCAAAAGAATGATCGTAGTGGATATTCAAGTCTTAACGAGAATATTAACAGTGGGATGTAGGAACATTAAAACGATGTATCTTAAATGAGATGAAAGTTGTACCACATCTCACTGCTACAATTTGTATATTTTAAAAATCGTTCCTCATTGAAATAGAATATTTGACCAGCTTATGTATGACTTAAAATGATACTCCCAAAAAAAAATATGCCAATTTTTTCGGGTTTATACGTTTTTACGCACCAAGAATGTGTGTCACTTACAATGATACTTTTCCATTTTCTTATAGATTTTAGTAAACGAGATTTACAATAATATAAAATATTTCATCGAATACTATGTAACTGATGAAGTGATACGAATTTAGTAAGAAATAATGAAAAAAAGTAAGAGTCTACAAACATAAGTAATGATATTTTGAGGAATCTGAAAACGGAATTGGATTAGCGTTGGTCTTAAAGACCTGGGTGCGTGATCGCAGTGCCCGAGGGACAACTACTTGAGGCCATGTTACGCCTGCGCGTAAACACGTCAACTTGATATACTTGAACTATTACGAGTTTACCTAGTCGGAAACGAGAGCGAGGATCCGGTGACACGACATGTTACTCAAATCCGATTATTACAACCCCCATATTTAGTTAAAATAAGAAGACGTGATATGAAGTAGAACGTGTATTCTACAAGCATCCAGAATTACGAGGTCCGAATCCAGAAGAGAATCAGGATCCCGGACTAGGGATCCGGGACCGAGCCCTGGTCCTGGTCGTGGTCAATAAACGTTACAGATAATGCGTATTTATACATTTTGGTCCAATAGGAAACAGCATCGAATTCTGTGGCATTGACAGTTAAGACGACCAATAGGAAGTAACATTTGAAGTGACATTGAAATTCAGGACAACCAATAAGAAACAAGATTGATATATTTGACTTTGACAGTTATAACGACCATAATTTTGACCAATAGAAATCGACCAATGAGATTTGACCAATAATTCTCTTAGGATATTGGATGAATATCCTAACAGGCCAGTTACGCACTGCCTTTTTATATAGAAAGTTTTAGACGTGTTAGCTCCGCTTTTCAAACCGCCTTACCGCTGGAAACGAAAATCCGTGGGGTAAGGTGAGGTGTGTGTGGGTCTACCTTTTCTAACCCCTTCCTTCCATTTTTGAGAAGGCAGCATCGCTGCAGATGCTGGTTGTCCGAGAGAAACACTTTACTGCTGTCACATCCCTCTACAGTCAAGAGTACAACTTCTGCTTCAAACCTTAAGTTGCTGCTTTTAGTCTTACTGTTCTCCAGTCAACCTGTCTGGTATGGTAGAACCTGAAGGAACATCACGGTAAGGAAGCCCGACCAGGTAAAAGTAGCAACATGAGTAAAGATAATAATAATACGAGGATGTGTGAATAATAATGACGATAAAAGAAACAGCATTAGTTGAACATGATTAATTTCAGTTATGAAAATACGAAAAGTGGAAGGCTTTTTGTGTACATTGGCAAAGTTAGGTAACCCATCATCATCATCATCATCTTATAATTAGGATGACTAATAGATCTGTGAGGTTAATCACAGCAGATTTCTTCTGAACACTGTCAAACTACTGCTTCAAATTTTGTATAGCCATTTCATCTACCGTAATCTGACAAATCTTGACATAATTACTTGCTAAAGTGATAGACTGATAGATTTATATTGGGTGTATGACCAGACCAGTCTGAATTGTTAATTATGCCATCTTTCGCTCTGTTTAATCAAATCGGAAAGTATTGTGAATTCCTGACAAATTGGAAAGCGTGAATCGTTTCACAGGAGTTGATAGATATAAAACAAAGTGTTCAGTCCAACTGCTTCATGTTTCAATCTTGATGTTATTAGTGGGTAAGATCAGCCGATTTACTTTGGCCTGTATATCATTAGCCTACATACTAGACAGTTAATGCTGGCTTTTTATATCGTATCAAGTACAAGATGAGCTGAAGAAACTATTTGAACAACAATAAACACTATGGTTTAGTATTTTAGTTAAAATGTCCACATCTATATGGAATAAAATAAACAATGCCAAAAGTATGCATGAATCCAATATGGCCTAAAAACAGCATTCTTATACTATTATCATTAAACTGAATTTATGATGATGAAAACCAGCATCATCCATTAGTCACCAGTAAATCTGGTTATTAGTAGTTATCTGAAAGAATAAATAATAAAATCCACAGTATAAATTAATTTCCAGTGAATCACTCACTTCGAAAGTCGATACCGGTAACAATTTTGAATTGAATAAATTTGATTCTGGTGTTGAGATTATTGGTTGATTGGTATTTTGTAAAAATTGTAATAAAACTTGTAAAATTGAACCATCATTTTGAGATAATTGATTTGTACATTTCTTCTCTTGATATTCATTATTAGTAGTAGGGTTAGATGAAATTGGTTCAACTTCTACATAATCTATGATAATAATAATAAACAGAAGAGGAGAATAGAAGTATGCTTAAAAAGAAAAATGAACTTCGATAGCTGTGACCGAGACTCTGTGATCTGAAAAAACTCAAGTTGACTAATCACTGGACTAGTAGTGAGTGACCAACGTCATGTTTCTTTAGTGTCTTTAACGATGATCAGTTTCTATCAAGTTAACATGTGGCCACTAGTCTAAATGATTCAACATCACATACCACCACTGTAGTGAGACGTCAAGTCGATGGAATTTAATCAAAACTGAAAGACATCAGTACACTAAAAAACATTGATCGCTTACTACTGATTGACTGGTCCATTGTTAATGTCTTAATGTCGGGCGACCAAACCAAAACATGGAACAAATCTATAAAGTCATCGACAAGTGGACTGAGTCATGTTGGTAAGTCTAGACTACCTGGTTGGGGTCCGCAAGACGATAGTAACTGATGGTTAGAGACTTTTGATCAATCTAAGAACATCAACACCGTTGGATGCCGGCTTTTAATGATGGTCTAACAATGATTGACTCATGATTTCAATATAAAATACTATATGGCTATGAAATTATGCATAAAATCTATTCAAATAATAATTGTCTATATGTCTATATGTTTAATTTGTATATATATATATATAGACCCAGGTATCATTGCTATCTAGGCAGTTGTTAAACACCATTTATTCAACCTGGTTTATTTGATATAACACTAATATACCAAAAAAATCATTATCTTAAATCTTATTAACAATTTCTAGCTACAATAAAACATTGTGATTGGCTACTACCACTGTGGTGCGCGCTACTTATAAGTAGTATATGACGCGAATGTAAACGTAATGTCTGGCAGCAGAAGATGGAGGAAGATCAAGAAAGGAAGAAGAGTGGGAACACAATGGTATTTGTATGAAACGCATGAACAACAGTGAAGTGTCAGACAATGGATTGATGATGGATTGAAGATTTGCAAATTAACCGTTTACGATATGGTTTTCCTATTTTACTGAGTAACTCTGTAATTTTCGTTAAATACAATTCGGTTGCCCTCACTTGTGTTCTCCTTCACTATACTACTACTACTACTACTACTCTTATTAGTATTATATTAACAATACTATTTAAATCCATGTTAGCAAAATATTTTCGGCAATAATATGAGACAATATGTTTTTTTTATTGGAAGTAATCAATTGAAATAATTCGATTTTCTTCAATTGTTCAATACGATAAATAGACCAATCAAGATTGAACATAAACAATAAACCAATAGATCTAGTTTATGGAAAGTTGTGAAGTTCTATTACTACTCTACAAATAAACAATAATCTTTATTTTAAAATGTTTTTCAAACTCTTTGAATTTATATATTTCCATTTTATATGTTAAGCATGAAACTTTAACAGTTGTATTGCTTGAAACATAAGCTAATTCTCAACTATAGTAATAGAGGTTAGAAGTCAAATTCGAAAAGCACGTTTCGCCACATTTACAATCTGTCAGTTGACTGGACGTACTTTCGTACCAGTGTTATTGTTCAAATTATTTTTGAACTAATAACTTTCGCTTTAAAACCCTAATGCATTCATTATTCAAGTGAACATTGACTTCTTCAACAGATACAATATTTATATTAATCTTACTAACAATGATGTAAATTTTCAAGACGTTAAACGTTGATTACTAGCTCTTTTATTTGTAGTTTAATAGGAATGAATGATCGAATTCCATTGGCTCTTTTCAATTTCATCTAAGATATACATACATAAAGAAATTGAGCAACGTGTATCACTGAATAGGTGGAGTAGTTAAAGAGTTTGATTAAAGTGTATAAAAACTATTCAACACTATGATTCACTCTCAGTCCAGCAGATTGGATCGATAGGAAACGAAGGAAAGTGTAAAAAATCGTTTTATGGTTGATGACACTATTAAATTGACCGAACCGGGACTGGTGCACGGAAGTTTCTAACTTGAAGCCCTATAAATAAAATTGGAGTGCTTTAAACATCAGGTCAGCGATCCGAATAAAATAAGACAAGAAAGTGTTCTAGTAGGAAACAACATAATAAATCTCCCACCCACCCTTATCTTATTTAAAAGAACAAACTTATAAGTGACATTTCGGTGTTACAATAGTAGCAACTGACTGTGATAACAAAGAAAATTCTTTGGTTCATCAACTAAAAAGTCTTTTGGTAAGATCTTTTATAGCAGATACTCTAAAATGCCATTTTTTTTCTCTTTTCCAATCTTTTCGTGTAATCACAACTTTTACATGGGTAATGAAAGACAAAACCACGCCTTTCCATTGTGGTCTTTCAAAACTCACAACCTCCATCCATTATCAATGTTTTTATCTATAAATCGTGTTCACTTTTACTGACTCCTTGTTTCGCATCGTAGCATTTTAAAGTAAGGAAATTTGAATTAATGTGTCATTATTACAGATTCATCCTAGTTTATTGTTCATTAGTTGGTTAACTGACGCCATTATACGAAACATAGATGCAAAGAATAATTAAGGCGTACATTAATGGATAATTATAGGATGAATACACCGGAAATTCAAATCAATGGTCGTAATGAAACGTAAGAATTAAAAGTAACTTATATATAATTAAAGACTATTAATAAAAGGCAACAACAACAACATATAGTTTAATTTGTTACTTCCTCAAAAAAATAAGAATGAAGGTACTCAATGAGTTCGTATGAGTCAAAAAGGTGGCCTTAACCAACCAACCAATACCGCAACAATCCAAGTTGTTTATGAATTCTTTTAACATGCCGCAAACACATAAGATCACATTCAATTCAAAAGGAATGAAATTTATTTGTTCAACCTCACCTTTATTGGAATCAAAATCTGACAATGTAAACGATTGTGCATTTGAACTGCTTTTCATCCAGTTGTCAATATCAGTGAAATCTTCATAAACTGACGGAGTGTTATCAGTTTCTGGCAAACTAAGAATATCCGATTCACAGTTCTAATACAAGATAAACATAAAATTATTTAATCACGCAAATGGTAAGGAGATGTGATACAAAATTCTGACACCACAATTAAACAGTGTAAATAATATTTTAAATAATGACTTAATAGATAAAACATTTAATATCCAGTTACTTGGTAAGAATTTCAAACATGATTATGCTTTATTCACCCTAATGGAGTAAATGGTACAATGATTCCAAATACTAGCTTCATTTATAATTATTAAAAAATAACATTGGTCGTCGCATATAGTCACCATCAGTGAAAAATAAATACTGTCAAAATAATGAAGCGAATATACACTTGAAAAGTACTGCTACTCAAAACTACGTGCCGAGTAGTGAATGATGAAGAGTAGATAACTTATTCCAACATATAAAGGAAAATATCATTAGTGAAAAAAACGGTTCATGCTTAAAATGGAACAAACAACTCATGTCTAGATTAAACAATTAGACCTTTGGTGCTAACATTCATTCGTTCACACAATAATTAGTAGTATTAACGTCCGAGATTTCCTGGATAATCAGCACATTATGCCAACTAGAAATTGGTATTATCTTAACGTAACACATTAACTTACAGTATATGATACAATCAACAAACAATAGCCAATATTTAAATATTCTCATACTCATATAATTTTAAGGAATTATATACATGTATATATCTCAAAGATAATGGACTTTTAGACAGAAATCGTCTGTAAACTTGCTTGCGTATCTTGAAGTCTTATAGTGTAAAATTTTTCTCTTTGATAATATACCCATTCTCAAAACAGTATTCTGCAAGAACATATGTGTTCGGTCAGTTCTAAACTCCTAGTGGCCGTTAAAACCTGCTTATGAAATCATTCTACAGTGGTTGGGCTATTCTTGCTGGTATTAAGCGAAAACGTATTGAACTATCTAGTCAGCAGTATTTGGTAAGGACTTAGATGTTTTAATCGCGAAGTTGGCTGAGTCACGTTATCTTATTGGGCGTTAGTGCTTGAAGGAGGCCGGTACTTACCTACAATCAGGTAGATTGCGATGTTCACACTGGAGCGAATGCTATTTATTATTAGTTATTATTATTAGTTCAACTAATAACTAATCAAGACTGTAATTGCTAATGAAACAGCAAAAGGAAATAACTATTCTCCAGCTTTGATGACTATTTTTAATGATCATCTATCACCACCTAACAATTCAGTATGCCGGAATCAACTGTATTTCATCATATGCTCGATGACTCATATTGTATGGGCAACTATGAGGGGCAGACAGAAAAACAAACTTATTTTTATAAGTTAAAATGAATATCTTCTACTCTCACTGGCCATGATTCATATCCGTATAGTGGGACGGAGCGAACTGCTGCACAGTAAACTCGTCCTTTATTCAGCAAACGGATATCTCGCCTCCACCATAAGTGACGCAGGTTGGCAAAAGCCAGTCGAGCCTTCTGTATCCGTGCTGAGATTTCGTCAGTCACCAGGCTATCAGCATTGATGAGACTTCCCAGATAAGTGAAGGGGTCTACACGTTCGACTACTTCACTCCCTACCACTAGTTCAGGTGCCGACGCAAGCCAATTTTAAAGCAGCATTTTGCATTTCGAGGGGGAGAATCGCATCACGAACATGCTTGCATTGTTGCCCAGGGTAGTCAGAACACTCTGCATGTTGTCAGCGTCTCCACCAAATAGAACTATTTCATCAGCATATTCTACGCCAATGAGCGATCCTCTTGGTAGAAGGTCCACTCCTGAAAATTCAGACGAAGATAATATTATATCTAGGAGCATGTCTATGACAAAATTACACAAGAATGGAGAAATTGGATACCTCTGACAACCGATGACAGTTCACCATAAGCCCTAACTCGACCAGGTAGTGTTAACATACTTCTTTGGTACACTTTTTAATGACAGACACTGCCTCAGAACCTCACGACCAAGAGTCAAATGCTGCTTTCGTTCAGCGTCGGAGTAATAATAGGCCAATACTTGAGATACTATATTGGTCAAACTGATTCCTCTGTGGTTGTCACAAGAGGACTTTTGCCTTATTTTAGACAGGGACAATAAGCGATTGAGACCAGTTGGATGGTATTGCGTCCAGTTCCCAGATTCTATCTCAGATCTCAGTCAATCGAGCTGCTAAAACCAGGTCTCAAACTCGCCACTTAAACATGCTAAAAAAGAATATTACCTACCTCCGAATTAGATATATCTTTAGGTGATATCGACTCATGTGTCGGAATAAATGAATGTGCTTCTAGTTCTTTGCAGTGTACAGCTAACGGAGAGTTTGCTTTGCACTTGGCACAAATGTAGCAATTTTTACACAACCTGTCAAGGCAAAATAAGATTAATAGGAATCAACTTACAAACACTGTAGGAACTCATCGGACAACAAATCGCCACAATTGGCACACACAATGGGACAGCTTGATGGTGGTTGATTCAGAAAATCGCGCTCCGGCTCAGATCCAGAGTTACTAAGGATATCCCACGAATCACCCGAGTCATTTGATATGCAATCAATAGATTTGTCCCCCATTTTGTTGAGATTGCATACAGTTTAGGTAGGCTTCTGCGTCATAAAAACCAGCTGATTTGATAATATTTTAACTGCCCTCCTTTAGGAACGCTCAATATTTCAAGGCCGATATACGACATACAATTTCACCGTGTTAGTATAAACCAATTGGTTTCTTTGAACTCGATTCTAGTACTTTTGGTGCGGCTCCAGGTACTTGGATATGTCCAGATGATTTTAACGTAGCTGCTCGAATGCACTAGTTGTAGTCAGTTGTCAGTTATTTATGAATTTGCATATCTTGTGATTTGAGTGTGTTTGTCTTTAGACAGTCAGGTTGTTGAATACTAACAGCTATCACATTGCCGCGCCAGAGGTCAGTTATTTTCAGTGTGAAGAATAATAAGGCGAAGATTCTAATGCTAGTGACAAATTAAATGGATGAATAAAATAATCAATTGATTGTGAATGTCGTGTAGGAGGACCGAAATATCAACAAGAAGAGGAAACAGAAATAATAAGAAACATAGAATAAGTTAGTGATCTGGGGAAATTACGACCACAACAACAAGCTAGTTTCGAGATATACATCAGACTCAACTGGTTCAAACTGGAGATGATAATCTGTATGTGAGTATGTGTTTGTCTGGTCTCTTCTTGAAACCATTCGCTGAAGTGGCAATGTCTCTTTTAAGGAGAAGGATGCGACAACATTGTGAACTCCAAAGTGGGGCCATGCGTATGTTTCGAATAGATTTGAGGAAATCCTGGGGTGTTTGCACCAAGTTGTGTCCACATTCAGTGGATAGTAGCATTTGCTTTGGCTACATCTCTGTAGTTTGATTCAGTGTCCAAGCTTTCTGTGGTTACTGAACCGAATTCACGTTCAGGAGCAACATTAGGGTGTGAATTTTCATGAAGGCTGTGAGTATATTGTGTCAGAATGTTCACTTCATGTCGTTTCGATAATCAAATTTTAACCCGTTGTCTACTTACTGTTCCACTGTCGTTGCAGGGTCTTTTAAAAGAATAAGTTACTGCCTTCTGATGAGCCTCCACACTTTCACTTCGTCTGCATAGATTTAACTTAAAAGGTCACCAATAAACATTAGGAAGAGAATGGGCCCAATTTGTCCACCTATTAGTGACGCGGCAAAATTAAATAGCATTCGCTCCAGTGTGAACATCGCAATCTACCTGATTGTAGGTAAGTACCGGCCTCCTTCAAGCACTAACGCCCAATAAGATAACGTGACTCAGCCAACTTCGCGATTAAAACATCTAAGTCCTTACCAAATACTGCTGACTAGATAGTTCAATACGTTTTCGCTTAATACCAGCAAGAATAGCCCAACCACTGTAGAATGATTTCATAAGCAGGTTTTAACGGCCACTAGGAGTTTAGAACTGACCGAACACATATGTTCTTGCAGAATACTGTTTTGAGAATGGGTATATTATCAAAGAGAAAAATTTTACACTATAAGACTTCAAGATACGCAAGCAAGTTTACAGACGATTTCTGTCTAAAAGTCCATTATCTTTGAGATATATACATGTATATAATTCCTTAAAATTATATGAGTATGAGAATATTTAAATATTGGCTATTGTTTGTTGATTGTATCATATACTGTAAGTTAATGTGTTACGTTAAGATAATACCAATTTCTAGTTGGCATAATGTGCTGATTATCCAGGAAATCTCGGACGTTAATACTACTAATTATTGTGTGAACGAATGAATGTTAGCACCAAAGGTCTAATTGTTTAATCTAGACATGAGTTGTTTGTTCCATTTTAAGCATGAACCGTTTTTTTCACTAATGATATTTTCCTTTATATGTTGGAATAAGTTATCTACTCTTCATCATTCACTACTCGGCACGTAGTTTTGAGTAGCAGTACTTTTCAAGTGTATATTCGCTTCATTATTTTGACAGTATTTATTTTTCACTGATGGTGACTATATACGACGATCAATGTTATTTTTAATAATTATATATGTTGCTTGCATTGTAATTGATACAAATTCAAATGATTGCTCTAGCTTACATCCACATTTCATGCTGCGTCCATTTGTTTCGCAGTGTGTTTATGTAGATGTAGATTAAGGTTAAATCTGCGGCCAGTGTAGAGAAATTCACTTTTATCAACGTTCATTGGCAGTTTCCATTTTTACAACTTCTTGGTCTCCCGGCATAACCGCCGAACTTTGGCTATCTGTAGTGTGAGATGAAAATAGATGTGCGACTTCTAAGACATCAGGGATCGCTTATCGTATTGTAAAGCCGAGCATATGTCAATGTTAAAAAGAGTGAGTTAACGCTCAATCACGTTTCTTCATGTAAACCCAATCGCTGTGTTCCAATAGTCATGGCAGCGACATCTTAAGCGGATGATTTGGCCATGTTTTGTTATAAATGTTTTGGATCAGGGTAAAGCGGGATCCTGTACGCCCAATGAAGAAATTTGTAGAAGGAGTCGTGTGAAACATTGTCAAAGTCCTTACTAAAATTAAAACAAAGTTTATCCATTGGTTGATTTATGTTTTGACACTGAGTAATCGTTATTGTAGCGTGGTCCTGTTATGAATCTTGTGGTGTTAAGTGATGTAGATTTATTTCGACAGTGGCTGTCCTAATTGTTTCCAATAGAAACACTCCTGTACGTTCCTCCTAGTTCCGGGTCCCGACCAAATCAAAAGGGCAAAATTCTAGGAGAAAACGTCTGGAATTTGTGTTCCTTCCAGGGCTAAATTACTCCGCAGAGTATCCAACACAATAGCCGATAAGTGAAGCTAAGTCCAGCAGCCACCGCGTTCGTCCAAAAATGTGGCGGTAGCCATATTATATCAGATTTAAACAATATATGTACAGTTCAGAAGCAAACACAAAAACTTCAATATAAGTACAAAATATAGAAAGAATAACAATATACAATGGTAAAATCTCAAATTGGAATCAAATAAAATACCAAAAATGTCAAGAGAAAAAGTCCATCATGTCATAGCAAAAATATGTAAACATGGAGGGATTTTCCAAAAACACAAAACATTCAAAAAGAATTCTACAAGTGATCTTTTTGAAACAGATAGATAGGTTCTACAGTCCATACATAGGTTGAACAGTTTTAATCATAGTAACTGAAATAATTAACGTGCTTCACAAAGGATGCAGGAATGATATACTGAGAATTTTCATAAAGATTTTTCAGGGCAGTTCTAGCCAACTTGAAGTTGCTGGATGCGAAATTTATTTCGAAGAGATGAATGAATGTTAGCTGTAGTAATGTATTCATTGGCAGCGAAAGAAATGATAGTTGAATCGCTCGTAAAACTGTATCTGGGTTGTTCATAATATTGCCGTTGATTACGAAAAATGTGGTTATATTTAAGGGTTTGTTTTAACCTGTTGAAGAGTTCATAAATCTGGCTTTTCGCTACCTAAAGCCTTATAGTGTTGGTCGAAAAGAGCAGTGTCTATATTATCACTGGGGGAATTATGATTCTCGTGGTAATCCTCGTATCAGAGTTTTGGTGCGATTCTACTTTTCCTGAATAAATCATCTGCTCCGGAACACTGTTACAGCCTCAAAGTCTGACAGTGTGTCGATTGGAGAGGGAAATGTGCTTAGTATACCTCCATGGTCATTCATAAGAATTTCTCGATCAATATGCATTTCAACTGGGTCGCATTTGATTGTAAATATTAGGTCAAGTATATTATTTTTCCTGGTCGGTGTTCGGACCTGTTGGACCCATAAACATAATAATATTGTTTCAGCTGACTTATCAAACCAAGTTCCATGAAATTTTTGGCAGATTAGAATCTCCCGGAATGGATTTGAGCATGTGTTGTTTGTGGTAAACAACAGAAGATATGTCTGTCAGGAATTTGTAAAAGTTAGTATCTGAATGGGGTGGTTGGAATGTACATCTCGCTATTAGATATTTTTGCGACCGGAAGTTTTCAGAAGCCTAAGTGGATTCATCTGTAATAAGACACTAGTTCTCAAGTTTACATGCTTCAGTGTTCGAAAAGACAAAGATAGTTGTACCACCCCCCATCTCACAGTATCAGTCGGATCGAAAAAAATCGTATTTAAGGACTGATCGGACCTGGATGATTTGAACCACGTTTCCGTAGTAGGTAAAATGATTGAGTTTACGACGAATAAAAAGGTACTAGGATAGCAGAATTTCTTGAAGAGGGATAGGGCATATAATGAACGGATGAGAAACTGAGAGGTGTAATTAATAAGCAGGTTAGAAAGTAGATCATAAGTGGTAGTTCCGCAGGTATTTGGGGGATCAGATAAGGTAATAAGTCTATTGCATTGCCGACAGAGTAGCCGAGGAGAAAGCGAAAAACGTTTTCTGGTTTTTATTGAGTATTTATACTTTCTGAGGCATCACTGGGAAATATTAAGTAACAGACTAAAGATAAAAAAGTAGTAGAAGCCTAAATGTGAAAGTCTCGATGAAATAGCCTCAAGGAAGTAGTGCGCAGTGCTGAAGATCACTAATGTAAGGAGTGGAAACGTACTAAAAATCGTCGTGAGGCAATGTGTAGAAAATTTCAAAAGGGATGAGACTCACGGAAATGTATGATGACTATGGGATCTCGAGACGTTTATGTAAGTTCAAGAAAAGTTATGGCGTATTGTTGTCGAGAAAATCAGAAGGATGATTAGTTGCAGTAAGTATATAAAAAATATCCCAAACTGGAGTTAGAAGATACGGAAGAAAACATTTTGTACATTAATTTTATCCAGAAACCTGTTTTTGACACTTTCGTTGGACTGTCTCGCATTGATTCCAAACAGTCTGACTCTCATTCACAAAACTTACCTCTCCAATCTCTGATTTTAACTAATCTTATATTTATATTTATGCCACGTTCACTAGTTTGATTCCGAATAGCGATAGTTCTAGATTACTATGGTAGACAAACTATATATTTCCGCCCCAACGACTGATATCTGGGAATTACCTATTACTCGTTCTCTGACAATGAGACATATATATCTATCCCAACTTACTCCAGTTATTCCTTTAGTCTGGGGATCCTAAATTCACAAGGATAGACTCACCAAAGTGAACCGTTAGCA